CCTGGGCCCCAGGAATCTGCTCCAACTACAGCTCTGGACTCTGCGTCCTATCTCCAGGCCTCGGTTGCCCCCGTAAGTAAAAGGATTCGAGTAAAGCCGATTCTAGACCATGAGTTCCAGATGTGCTCAGTCACACTGTTTCCGTAGCAGCAATGACACGGCAGGGACCAAAGTGTTGCCTAGACCAGCTGCACAGCTGCTCAGAACCGGCAGCCTGGGAGGCTGTGCGGCTCATCCCCTGGGCTGCGGTCACCTGCTCAAAGCCTGAGCCTCTGGAAGGGCCTGTTTCAACAGGGTCCTGCCCATCAGTGCGGTCAGTGCCTGGTTGGTTTGCCCCGTGTTTGTGTGAAACAGATTAAAAAGAGGGCCCCTGACATCATAGGAGTAATGACTGTTGGGTGAAATTTCTATCTGTGTGTTTCAGAGCCAAGGTAGAATATGTGTTCCTGAGCGTTAATGTCGGTCTGACATTCCTGAACCCCACTCGGCTCCCCTGGGGCGTGTGGCGTTTTGTGCCATGGTCAGGCTGTCTGCGTCCTGAGGTCATGAGGAGCGTGGAAGGGCGGGGCGGTGAGCATGCGGAGCCTGGAGAGAGGCAGTGAGAAATCTCTGCATAGTGAGCTGTGTGCGTCCCTGTCCCTCCATGAACTGGAAGAATAAAATGTTCCTAACACTCTCTTAGAGTCAAGCAACTTTGCACTGAACAGAAGACTGAACACAGTTCCCACGCAGGGACTTTCAGGGACCGGCAGGGGAGATGGAATTGAGGGGGCTAAGCAGAGCTGACAGCCATGCCCTGCTCTGCCTGGTTAGTAATGGGTGATTGCTTAACGGGTGTGGGTTGTGCCCAGGGTGATGAGGCACCTGTGACAGGAAAGGGGAGACAGTTGCACAAGGCTGGGAGGTACAAATGCCCTGGGCTGTGCAATTGAAGTGACTCAGGTGTACTTACTTCCTGTGAATTTCACCTCACTAAAAACATAGCACAAGACAGTCAACCAGAGCCAGTCTGGGGGACCCCTTTGGCAGAGGATTTGGGGAACAAATCGCCATTCATTCCCCAGCACTTGCTGCAGGGACCACCTCGGGGTCTCCTCGCACCGACCTCTCTTCTACAGGGTGCTTTTTGGGTCCTGGAACTTGGCCTGCCAGTGAACCCTTCAGGCTAAGCTGGTAATGGCGCCCCTTCCTTCCATGTCCCCCGGGGGTGCTGACCACCCCACCCCTTTTACTAAGCACTCAAGTCACTGGTCAGTGCCATCTATTTCCCCAGCACCAAGAAGACAGCGACAAAGGGACCCGCCCCGCCCTTGAGAGTCACAGGCCCTAATTCTCCAGCTGTCCAGGCAGGGACAGCTAAGCAGCACAGGGTGGTCAGAGTGGGTTTGAGAGGCAGAGTCAGGTGCTTCAGACACAAAGCAGATCCCGCAGCCTCCAGCCCTCTCCTTGCCTTTCTCACAAAGCTTGTTACTTGGGGGATGCCCTGAGGGTTTATCTACAAAATGTGGGAGGGTGTATTGTACCTGCTGGGCTAGGAGGACCAGAGCTGTCACCACCCAGGTGTGAAGGAATTAGAACCCAGAAGGGGCAGTGACACCTGATGGATGACCAGAGCTTGTCCTCACAATCTAGCAGGGATGGGCCTGGAAAGGGAGCCCCACCCTCCTGATCCCAGGGAAGGTCTTGCAGGAACCCTGAGTGGGTAGGGCACCAGAGTGGGTTGGCGGGGAGGGAACTTGGGCCACGATGAGCAGGGCAGGGCAGGGCAGGGCAGGCCCTTTCTTTAAGAGGGAGATATTTGCCCGGCCAGCATGGCTCAATGGTTGAGCATTGACCTATGAACCAGGAGGTCAGCTTGATTCTCGAACAGGGCACATGCCAAGATTGCAGGCTGTATCCCCAGTGTGGGTGTGTGTAGGAGGCAGACAATCGATGATTCTCATCATTGTTGTTTCTCTCTCTCTCTCCCTCTCTGAAATCAATTAAAATATATATAT